GGTTTCCTTGGACCATGTTCTCTCTCTCGCTACAATGTTATTCAAAACAAACTAGAAATTAAATGTATCGTACCAATAAATTACACGGATGTGTGTATTGTACCAATAAATTACATGGATGTGTGTATCGTACCAATAAATTACACGGAACTTATTCAAGTTGTGAGAGATTATGTCTAAGTTAATACAATTTTTTTTATAGCAATCTCTAAGCAATTCCAGGAGAAATCATGGTGTAAAAAGCTTAATAAAGGTATAGTGATTGAAGATAGTTGGTACTCAGATGAAATAATTGAGAAGTTGGAAGAAGAATTCATCTTTCCTTTAAAAAAAGTAAGTTTGTGGAAGTATTTTTAAATTACAGTTTTCTTTGTAAATATTAATGTTTATATACAAGCTATAAATTTATTAACTTTTTGAAAAATTATATCATGGTTACATTATTAGGCTCTAATCGTAGCATGTACCCACCAACAGGGATTTGATATTTTTTATAAAGTAACCATTGGGTGTTACCATTCTCATCCATCTTTCAACACGATTATTTTTAAAACATAAATGCATTATTATTGTACTTCTCTTCTTCCTGTGTTGATTATGGTGTTAGTGATTCATCCTACCTTGGGGGTGGGTAATGGATCATGGGGAGATTGTGAAGAAAGCATGGGTTTACTGGTGAATACTACCATAGAGGAGTAATGTATAGAATATAAGTGAACTGGGAATAAATTTCAAAACACCTTATTCTCGTATATACACAGAAATTATGATATTACTTTCTAATCCCAGTGATGGCTGTTTGACTGCATATTGTTTTCCTTTCTACAATTTCAACCATAATTGTTTTTATTTACAGATATGTTGTAGTTGCACTTGTTTTTATTTTACAGAAGAAAAGTTGTGGAACATTCTATATTTTGATACAGTCCAACTGGAAGTCAGCCTTGGTATTTTATAATCGAAACAAAAACTAATTTATCAATTTATAGCATACACGTGACCTCCCCCACCCATAAGTGTGCAGTAACCTTGAAGGCCTATAATGATGAAATTCAGAGTTCGATCCTTGTGGTGATTGCAGTGCAGATAGCCTAATTATGAGATGTATTAAAATATCATGTGCTTGTTTGTGCATGCATGAATGTATACTGTACAGGTTACAATATTAATAAACTACTCAACATAAAACTGTTTTATCTGTAAGTTAGGCAGCATAGACACTGTTTTGTTGAAGTTTGTAGTGGAATAGTTCTGCCTTACTTCTTCAGTGGAATGAAATTTTGGAAACAAGGCAGAAACAGTTCAGTACAAACTTCAATCATACAAATAAAAATATTTAATATAAGGGCCCGACATGGCCAGATGGTTAGAGTGCTCAACTCGCAATCTGAGGGTTGCGGGTTTTAATCCCTGTCACACCAAACATGCTCGCCCTTTCAGCCGTGGGGGTGTTATATTGTTGGTAAAAGAGCAGCCCAAGAGTTGGCGTTGGGTGGTGGTGACTAGCTGCCTTCCCTCTAGTTTTACACAGCTAAATTAGGGATGGCTAGCACAGATAGCCCTTGTGTAGCTTTGCGCAAAATTCAAAAACAAAACAAACAATTTAATATACGTATATAAGATAGAGAAATTTTAGCAACTAAACCTAACAATCACATTCATCTTTATGTTTTAATAACCTAAAGACTTGTTTAATGATATTGCAATTTTCTTAAGAAGTTGAAAACTTCATAAAAATTTAATGTAACAAAAAGATTAACAGAATTTTTCTCTGCCATATGTAAGGTTTCATGAACTAGCATCACAATTTTCTTTTGCTTGAGTGATTTTGAATCTTGATCGCTCACAAAAATGATAAACCTAACATGCACTATTATTTTATTACATGTGTATTATTCTGTTGTATTTAAATTTAACAGAATACAGACTACTGATGTTCAGCTAACTTGATGGCTTTTATTTAACAGTTTAATGTTACAAGTGTTTTACAAACCACTTGCAGTAATCACACAAATAGGAAGAATATTTTAAGTTGCTTGTCCTATGCTATGATGACAGCTAAGTAATTTTTGGAAATTTCCTTTTTATAAATCTGCATGTAACCTGTAAATGTTTCTCAGTTATTCATTATTCTGAACCTTCTCATTATTAGTTTTGAGCTTGACAGTAGTAAATCCCCCCCCCCTCCCATAAATATTATATAATTATAATTTTATTTCATTTTCAGAGTTAATGACAGTAATAATTCTCAGGTTAATTTTTTTTTATCGTAAGATGTTATTTTGACCAAAGTAAACACGGTAAAACCTCATACATGTATATGTAAAAATTAAATTATGTATGCCAGTTTTGTATGTTTTCTAATATCTCAGTTGAAAAATTATGTTAAATAACTTAATTTATGATATACCTTATCTTCGTAGCGAGTTTCTCGTTTTCCCCGAGCCCATTTTTATTGCCAGCTTTGTGACTACCACTTGGACAGACCTGAATACATGAAGGAACACATGCATCGAAACAGTCACCGTAGCCGTAAAGAGGTAAGAAAAAAACAAATAAAAATTTGTTTTAGAAAGAAATACCAACCAACTAAGCTAGTACAACAGCACACTGCTTGATAACTTTATACAGTGAAATGAACTTTCTAATATATAATACTTTATATCGTACATTAGTATATGTTGTTCTGGTTGAAAATAACAATTCCAATGTTTAGAAAGTTTTCGTAAACATCCAATACCAAAGTATAGGTGAAACAAAAATATTAAGTAATAGAAATTTCCATAGTTTAGGGTAATATCACAATGCATCACGAGTTACTGCTACCAAAAGGCAGTTCAAGTCTTCTGGCCACTGCTCTCTTTTGACTTCACAGTCTCCCGAGAAGTAAGTGTTACTAGGTTAATCGGCCAAAATTGGAACAGGAGTATATTATTCACCATTGACAAAATCACATGCTCCACATCCATGTAATTTATTGGTACGATACCCACATCCATGTAATTTATTGGTACGATACACACATCCATGTAATTTATTGGTACGATACCCACATCCATGTAATTTATTGGTACGATACACACATCCGTGTAATTTATTGGTACGATACCCACATCCAT